TTGTATTCATATGACACGTTTCATGAAGGCCCTTCCATGGATTGCATTCTCCAGGTGAAGAAGACACTGAAAGTATCCTGACCTCCTCAGAGCTTAAAATCTAGTGGGGATAGTGAACAAGGTAGGGTATAGAATTCAGCTCCCACTGATATCCATCTGCCTTGTTTACAGCATCTAGTAGCCATGAGGTGATACATTTGACTGAATAGACCAACGCTAAGTCATTACTCAAGTAGCCTGGCTTCTATTTGTAACATTATTGATGCTTTAAAATTCACTAAATTACAACCAGATCATGGAGGTACACTGAAGCCATGCTCAAAACTTTCTGAACCTTTACTGAAATTGTTTAGGGCCTCTCCAAGAGGCTATAAGAACAGCAGTAAAATTCTAAGTAGTTTTCTTTATAACCTGTAACTAAATACAGACTGTAACAATGATTAATTTTTTTAATATTCTTAGTGTTTCAGGACTATTATATTAATAAGGCCATCATGCATCAGTGCTGTATTCCAACGGAACTATTAGTCTCTGTACCAGGTTAGTGTAATTACAGCCTAATGGTTTACATCATTATAAAAACACTAAATATTTTACTAAACTGAGTACAGTATATAAAAATTAATTTAAATGGCTGCAGGCTTGAAACAATAGAATCAATGATAAAAAAAATTGTTTAATTTCAAATAAGAAAACAAAAGTATGAAAGGGGAATATTTATTTCAAATAATCTGAAGAATAATAAAAATATAAAGATTTTTAAAATAAAAATCTATGGCATCTTGTCATATCTTGATCCTGTCTTATAAAGCAGTCTTCTTCATTAACACTGGGAAAGGATAAGGTTTCTAAAACTGTGCCCTTAAGAATCTTTTGCTTTTGTGTGGCCATGATAACTCCTTTGTGAGAGATTAGAGGAAACATGCAGGTACCACTGGTAAGAGGCTCCCCAATATATGCCTCACAAATGCATCATAGTATTGGCGAACTTTAATGGTCTTTTTATTAATTTAAATGTCAAATACTAAAATGAGAAATTTCCCATATGCAGGGATACAAATATTCAGTAAATACAGGTTCATTGATTAGATAGTATATGTGAAGAAAGAAATTAGGGGACGGGAAGGGCTGACAGTAAAATCAAATAAGACTAATAATAAATTATCCTAATAACAAATATTCTAATTTTAAATATAACAACATTTAATATGGCAAAAAATAGAATTAATGCTGATGACACTTAGCAAGTTTGTTTAGTTGCCTTGAAGATTCTACATTTTTATCAAACCCTTGTAAACACTAAGGTAGAAGTCTTCCTTTCTCTTCTGCAGGAAGATTCCATCCTTAACATCAGTGTTCTTACTACATGAGATGACTAATTTTAATGTGTAAACTCGACTGAGCCAAGGGGTGCCCAGAGTAAACATTATTTCTGGGTGTGTCTGTGACAGTGTTTCCAGATGAGATTAACATTTGAATCAGTGGACTCAGGAAAGTAGATTGCGGTTCCCAATGTGGGTGGTCACATTTCAATCTGTCAAGGGCATCAATAGAACAAAAAGGCAGAGAAAGGAAGAATTTGCTCTTTTTGCTTCCTCCCTGCCTGTTGAGCTGGGACATCTGTCTTCTGTCCTTGTACTGGGATTCATATTGCTCCCCCTAGTTCTCAGGCCTCTGAACTTGCACTAAATTACATCACTGGCTTTTCCTGGGTCTCCAGCATGCAGATGGTAGATCGTGGGACTTCTCAACCTCCATAACTATGTGAGCCAATTCCTCATAATTATTCCAATTCCTCATATATATATACCTATATATTTTATTCCAATTCCATATATACACACACACACACACACACACACACACACACACACATATCCTACTGGTTCTGTTTCTCTGGAGAACTCTAATATACTACACAACCTCACCTCATTGAAAATCTGGTTCTCATTCTGTGGAATTTACCAAAGTCAGCCCAATATATCAATTTGCAAATATGCCACCTGTATGGTTTAGAAGGTTTCAAGTTGTAATCCACCTTTAATTATTTACTTCAAGGGGTTGGTTTTACTTATGTTTCTATGAATTTTTAATAGCTCCCATTGTGTGCGTAGATACCAGGAATGACAGACTTTGATTGCTTTTTTTTACACCTGACTCAACTGCTAAAACCCTTTACAGTGGCAACTGGTTTTAAATCTCCTTGGGCATTTGCAGCATTGATAAGAAGTTAAAGCTTGTTCATCAAAGAGCAGCTTCACCTCCCCAACACAGAGATGGGAGGAGAGTTCCAGTACATTCAGGCCCAAATTAGGTCCTATCTTGGACCTCTTGGAGAAAGTACCACCTAACCGTTTTAGAAGTTAATACCAAGGAATTTGTATGAACCACCTCAGTCAATCGCAAAAATTCATTCCCAGCATAGCAGACAAAGCAGAGCATCCCTCAATTTTCTTTCAAATCTAATGAGAAAATGATTACTCAGTTTGCAGTCTCTATTGGAGCAATGGTGTTGGGGGGTAGGAAGAATACTGCCCAGTGAATTCCTACTATTCTGAGCTACCACACCTGCCCTACCCCCTAACTAGCTGCAAAACACAGAGAACCCCTTACTTTTGGTGGGTCACCTGCTCCCAGAGCTTAGATGGAGCACTGCCTCCCTCTACCATATTATAGGGTATGAAAAGATGACTCTAGCTAAGATCTAATTAGGCTTATGATTATAAGTGTCCATTTTTCTTATTTTCATTGGAATCAGGTAAATAAAAACTTACTATCATATTGTGAAAGCTTGGGGTGAATTAAAATGTTGATTTTTTAAAAATCGTATAATGATTTTGAGATTTTGTTGATCTCTCTTGTTCTTTAAAAGTTCGTTAGACCTAGCAAAACCAGTTTCTATCTAAAAGGAGTCAAAACTTAGATTATTCTCTTGGAACTGAGACTACAAAGTATAATTTCTTCATGTACCTTTTACAAAAAATATTCTAATAGGTCTTAAGGTGACTCCCACTCTCCCCAGGTCCTTTCTTGCTAACACTCCCTTGTGAGCAGAAGTGACTGGGAGACGAAAATGGAACACAGGTCTCTGAAATCAAATAGAATGAGCTTCATGACTGAGGATGGACCATTTAAGACCAGGATGTGTTGATCAGATTTGAAAGGAACTTCTACAGTGGATGAGGGAAAGGTGTTTAAACACCTGAACTTACCCTGGATCTTTAAAGCAATAATCTAATTTTTAGCAGCAGCAACTCTTTCACAGGTGTAGGAAGAATGTTTACTTCCATTGAACTAATTTGTTCTAAATTGAGAAAACATTTAGGAACTAAAAAAACAAAGAGGCTCCTCTTTTCCCAGAACAGGAATAAAAAGAAAAAGGAGAACAAGACTACAACATGCAGTTTAATATTTCAACTTTTTCTCCACTGAGCTGACTAAATGATGTCCATTTTATTTTATTTCTTAAAAAGTACAATTCCCAAGTGTGACTAAAATAATAAATATACATACTTATTTTGCTAAGAAGTAATTAAAGATGTCATTTGCTGACAAAAACAAATGTAAAACTAATATATAAAACTTGTTATTTTTGGTTAAATAAACATTTTGCATGCCTTATTTTGGGAGATGGTTGTTAATACATCTTAATACACCAGGGGAAAACTACCTCTGAATTAAGACATAACTGGCCTTTCCTCCTAGAGAATTTAAAAGTCTCTGTTTCAATTGATTTTAATAATTCCTCAAAAAAGGAAAAAAAAAAGAAAACCCACCCTACTCCATTTTCTTTGTAACTGCAAGAGTAATGTGAAAAAAATAAATGCTTTAAAATGTACAGCACATATCTTCTGAGAAAAAACTCAGTATTTAGGCATCTATCTGCATTGTAAACAACATGAGCTTACAGGAGTTGGCTTTTCATAAGAACCACATTTTAAAATGCAGTTTTTGTGCCTAATGATTTAAATAAAAATTTAAATAAAATCCACTGTGTTCACATTTCCCCATCCCTTTCCCCACCTCCCACAATACTTTTCTCCATGAGAAATAACCTAAATCTCTTTAGCTTTTCCTCAAAGGACCCATTTTCTAAACTAATCATTTTCAGTCATTCTCTTTTGAGCTCTCCCCAAGTTTTCTACATCTTGCCTCAAACAAAGGGTCTCAAATTGGACCCTGTACTCCCATAAAATCCTGATGAATGCTGATCATAGGAGAGTCTCCTCATGGTTGCTCCTTCTCATAGAAGGAAACAGTCTTGATCTTACAACTTCCTCAGCCATTAGAAGCTAATACCAACTCTGACTCAATTTTGGGATAATGGGGGTACGGTATCTAATTTTTCACCTCTCCATTTAAACTCCTAAGTCTTAATAATAGTAAATGCAGCTATTTCTCAAACACCCCCTGAGTGCCAAGCCCTGGGCTAAGTACTTTAACTGCCTTTTGAAATATTTAAATATTGCCATTATCCCTGTTGTGCAGAAGAGGTTAAATAAGCTCCCCAAGGTCACAGAATCTGTGGTAAGGTGGGGATACAATTACAAGTTTTGCTAATTCTTTTTTTTATTTTATATTTTATTATTATTATTATTATTTTATTATTTTAGAAAGGGAGAGAGTGAGCTCCCCAGCATGGAGCTCAACGCAGGGCTCAATCTTAGGACCTGAAATCATGACCTGAAATTAAGTCTCTGCTTAACCATTTGAGCCACCCAGGTGCCCCCAGGTTTAGCTGATTCTAAAGCCCAGTCATGGTGTGCCTGGGTGGCTCAGTCAGGTAAGCAGCAGACTCTTGATTTTGGCTCAGGTCATGATCTCAGGGTTCTAAGATGAAGCCCCACGTAGGCCTCTGCACTCAGTGGGGAGTCTGCTTGAGGATTTTCTCTCCCTCTCCTTCTTTTCCTCCCACTGCTCAGCACTCTCTCCCTCCCTCTAAGGGAGCCCACATCGGCCGTCATCAGGTCCTCCAGCCATGCTGCCCTGAAGAGTGTAAGATGTTCGCCTGTGCCAAGCTGGCCTGCACCCCCACTCTGATCCGAGCTGGATCCAGAGTTGCCTACAGACCAATTTCTGCATCAGTGTTATCTCAACCAGAGGCTAGGACTGGAGAGGCCTCTATGGTATTTAATGGGGCCCAGAATGGTGTGTCTCAACTAATCCAAAGGGAGTTTCAGACTAGTGCAATCAGCAGAGACATTGCTGAGATGTGAACAGACATTTTTCCAAAGAAGACATCCAAATGGCCAACAGACACATGAAAAAGTGTTCAACATCGCTCGGCATCAGGGAAATCCAAATCAAAACCTCCGTGAGATACCACCTCACACCAGCCAGAATGGCTAAAATTAACAAGTCAGGAAACAATAGATGTTGGTGAAGATGCGGAGAAAGAGGAACCCTCCTACACTGTTGGTGGGAATGCAAGCTGGTGCAGCCACTCTGGAAAACAGTATGGAGTTCTTCAAAAAGTTGAAAATAGAGCTACCATACGACCCAGCAATTGCACTACTGGGTATTTACCCCAAAGATACAAATGTAGGGGTCTGAAGGGGTACGTGCACCCTGATGTTTATAGCAGCAATGTCCACAATAGCCAAACTATAGAAAGAGCCAAGATGTCCATCGACAGATGACTAAAAAAGATGTGGTATACACACACACACACACACACACACACACACACTGGAATATTATGCAGCCATCAAAAGGAATGAAATGTTGCCATTTGCAATGATATGGATGGAACTGGAAGGTATTATGCTGAGCGAAATAAGTCAATTAGAGAAAGACATGTATCATATGATCTCACTGATATGAGGAATTCTTAATCTCAGGAAGCAAACTGAGGGTTGCTGGAGTGATGGGGGGTAGGAGGGATGGGGTGGCTAGGTGATAGACATTGGGGAGGGTATGTGCTATGGTGAGCCCTGTGAATTGTGTAGGACTGTCGAATCACAGACCTGTACCTCTGAAACAAATAATACATTATATGTTAAAAAAAAAAAAAAAGATAGTAGGAAGGGAAAAATGAAGGGGGGAAATTGGAGGGGAAGATGAACCATGAGAGACTATGGACTCTGAGAAACAAACTGAGGGTTCTAGAGGGGAGGGGGCAAGGGGATGGGTTAGCTTGGTGATGGGTATTAAAGAGGGCACATATTGAATGGAGCACCGGGTATTATATGCAAACAATGAATCATGGAACACTACATCAAAAACTAATGATGTAATGTATGGTGATTAACATAACATAATAAAATTAAATTAAAAACAAACAAACAAAAAATAAATAAACTAAGAGTGTTACTGATAATGTAAGCACCTTAGTTCTTTTTTTTCATATCAAATAAACTTCTGAGTAACAGTAGATACATTTCCAGGTTCCTATCTCCCCTGAATGACAGATGGAAGAGTAATGCAGAAATGTATGACCTATCTGGTTTTATCTGCAGTGTTCATTTTATTAAAGAAGGCTGAGCATCATTCTCTAAATTTCTCTCTCACTTATTTCTATAGTATATTATGTTTCATGTTCTCTTTTTAAATCCCTAACCTCCTTGGATCCAAGGTCATTGTTTCATTATCAGAAGTTGATAGAAAAAAAAAAAGAAAAAAGAAGTTGATGGAATTAATGACTCAACATAGTGGCAAAAGCAACTTTCAGTTTCTTTGTTTGGTTTGCGAATTCCTCCTGATTGATAAACCAGAGACTCAGCCACTGCCTGCAGTCTTCCACTACAGGTTCTCTGTTCCTCTGATCCTTGCTCTTTGCTCTTGATTCTCTTACTTCTCAAACCTATTCCCTTGCAGCCTTCTGAACTTCGTTTTCCTAAATGGCTCCTATCCACCCTCCAAAAATACTCCCTTCCTGAGTTATCATGGTTCTCTTTCTTTCATGGCAGAGAGGTTGATGTTTAAAAGCAGTTACTGGGAATAAAACTCTCTGGACTTGGATTCAGGCTCTACTACCTTCTAACTGTATGACCTGGAGAAATTTTTTAAGTCTCTCTTTGCTTCATCTTCTCATTTGAGAATAGAAATAATATAGTTATTGGGCCATATTACTTAATATGTTTAATAGAAGAATATTGGCAAGCTAACTGCTCAATAATTCTATGATTATCATTATTATTATTATTCCTAATCATTCATTCTCATATAATCAGGAAGCAAATAGGCCTTTACATAACTATTTTTAGTTCACATTTATTCACCACCTCAAACTTCTGTTACACCAAAATAAGTGAAGCATCATGTGTCCCCTACATGATATGGGGGAGAAAAAAAAGCCATCTTTTAGACCAAAAAAAAAAAAAAAACTTAGAAAGAATTTTGCTTTTTACTTAGATTCTTGAAAAACTACTGGAGGATTTAGATTTAGAAGAGGGAATATGTTATTACTGTGGGGCCAAACATCTTCAAATTCCTTTCTCTCCAGCTCTGCCATTCTCAAGATCATCCTTATGGATAACAGAGGCTCTCCTGAATTCTTTCTTTTTGTCACCATATTCTGTCAATCCTCAAAATGTCCTAAGCCCGAATTGCAAGGTCCTTCATTCCACCAGTCTAACCTCTTTCCCTTTTTTTATATATTTTTTTCTTTTGTTTGTCCAGTTTTTCCCCAACATAGATGCAATTTGGAAATTGGTCCAGAGTGTTGCATGAGCATCAGAATTTTTCAAAATTCCCAGGTTGATTCTAATAGATTAAGAACCACTGGTTATCCTTTCCCCTCCTCTCTCCAGTGTAAATCTTTTAGCTTCTTTTTTTCTTTTTATGCCAAAGCTTGGGACAAAGTTCAGGAGCTGGAAGTGAGGAAATGCAAAGCATTTAAAGCCAGAAATTTCCCTAAGGGGCATGAGAAGAGAAATGCTCTGGATATATTAATCATGTGTGATTTTTTTGTCATTACTGAACTTTCTTTCTTTTCTTTGCTCCCTGAGGACCTAGACCCTTTCGTCCCATATCTCTGCCACCTCTATTCACTGGCTGGAGCTGTCACACAAACAGTTATTAACCGACGCATTCTTTGGATTCCCTTAGGGAACCTTATCCTGGTGCCTCTGTGAGTAAGTGACTCACACTCATAGACTCATAGTGATGTTCAATTTTTTGAAAGTCTGCATACAAATCAAAGTATATGTTTTGAAAAGCAGCTAAGGTGCAAGGTTGAACACTCTGCTGGGGTGAGCCCAAGATCACAACTCAGTGTCTTCCAGTTAATATCCCTGTGGCCTTGGGCATCATCCATGAAATAGGGTTGATGACATTTATCTACGGCACCACTATACAGTAGAGGTAAATTAAATCATCACTTCATGTCTTTTTCAGTCTTATTATGTACTACTTTATGGCTTCCATAATAATTTACTGCAAACTTAGATTGGCATTTACTGTAAATTCACAGACTTGAATTTGCATCAGGTAAACTTTTTTTAAAAAACTCTTTTGCACAGGACTGTAATTCTGTAATTTTCTAACACATTTCTTGAGGAGAATATGGACACCAAATGGGATTCTGTGCTATTTTAGTTCCTAAGCACACAGAACAGAGCCAGCCTGGGGAGTCAAAAAAATGGCATGAAGTTCTAGAAACATCTGTGTCATGTCTGTGTCATGCTGCCATAATACCCCTCTCACAACTTCCAATCTTAATATCCTTCCTTGTCCTCTAGGAAATGTTAGGCACACGTGGTTTGACTATCTCCACTCAGATGTCACCTTCTTAAAGAGGACTTCTATGACCTTCTCTCTGAAACAAAGACTCCTTTCATTCTCTATCCCCTTCAATGACTTCACTTTTATTCCTAGGCTTTATTACTACCTGAGTGTGCATACAATGTTGACTGATGTTTCCTCCCCTGGGGTATGATGTCCAAGAGGGCAGGCTGTTTGTAGAGCCTGCATGAGAGCTGCTGCATCCGAGCATTAGAGTAGTGCCTGCTGTGTTATAATAAGCCCTCAATAAAGACTTTTTTGAATAGAAAAATTGTTTTAGATTATCGATGTAACTATCAATGTAATAATCTGATTATTTGCCTTTCATTTTAAGCACAGGAACTGAGGCCCTGAGAGATAAGTTGATTCCCATAAGGCTCCAGCTAGGAATAGACAGAGCTAGTGCTCTTGGAACCATGGCAGGCCATCACCTGTCCCCCTCAACCTCACCCCCCACACACACACAAAGTGCCTGCTTTTGCCTCATCTTCTTGTAGTCTCAATCCGATGAGCTTATGCAAAGGTGTTTAAAGGTATTTAAGTCTAAAAATCATGTACCGATTGGAAATTTTAGCTTAAAAAAAAAATCCCCGAACAAAATAAGAATGAATTAAATGTCTATGAAACGTAACGTGTCAACTACTCAGTCAGCTTGTTGTTCAACTTTTCCTCAATTCAATTCTTATTTTTTATATAGAAGTTAAATTGAGCCTAGGATATGAATACATTAGAATACATTTGATATGATTAGGGGTGGGGAGATCTCCAAAAGTAAAAATGCCTAAAAGCATTCTTGCCTGTTAAGATATTCAAAGGTTGGAGGAGTAACAGATATTGCAAGATTTTACATCAAAATGACTCTGAGGAAAGTTTTTGTTTGTTTGTTTTTCTTTTTCTTTTTTGGCTTTCAGAGAAAAGTAGTGATCATAATCTGATGGCTTGGACTTCTAATTCCTGGCATAAATCTTGTTATTAAAATTTTTTTCTAACATAATTATCCTGTGAACTAATTGGATAAATGGTAGTAAGCATTTGCAAATGACACAGTAGGGTTTACGAGCTCAGGATCTGTGATTCAGTGACGCCATTTAAATCACTGCTCCATCACTTGTTATCTGTGGCCTTGGGCAGGTCTGTTGGTGTCTCTAAACTACATTTTTTCTGTGGGGACCATAATAGCCATTAACCCCATAACATTATTGTAAAAGTTAGGTAAAATGATAGATGTAAAATACTTAGCATTGTTGCTGGCACACGAGAAGTGTTCCATGGAGTTAATAATTATTATTATTACTATTATTCTTATCATTAGTTATTATTATTATTATTATTATTATTTTTAAAGATTTTATTTATTTGACAGAGAGAGACATAGCAAGAGAGGGAACACAAGCAGGGGGAGTGGGAGAGGGAGAAGCAGGCTTCCCATGGAGCAGGGAGCCTGATGCGGGGCTCGATCCCAGGGGCCTGGGACCATGACCTGAGCCAAAGG